TGGCTGGGGAGAATTATAGGTGCATTGGTGGGGGTCTTTCCCCGGGGGTCTGGTGGAACCAGGAGGGAAAGCAGATGGAGACAAAAAGGACCAGAAGACCCTCTTCTGGTCAGCTGCTACCTTATGTTCTTTGGAGAGGATTGGAATGGACACCCCTGATTAGATGAGGCATTAAACAATGACTATGTCGTCTTAGTGGCCCTGCCCACCTTATCAAAGGACTATTATTAGTGAGAAAATAGCAGCCGAGGCCCTTTCGGAGAAGTCTGCCCTACTGGGCCTTTGGCCACATGCCTCACATATGTTGTCCCCCCTTTCTGACTCTCCACAAAAGCAGGAGAGTCTCATATATCCCTGTCTCCTGAATGCTGAGCTTAATGCTTGGCACGCGGCAAATCTTGGTCAAGTGAAATGAGCGGATTCCCGAGTGCACAGTCATTTTCCTAAAGGTGACAATTTCTGCCTCCGAACTGGGGATCCTGCGCACCCCCTGGCCTGTTGGCCCAAAGTCCATGCAACAGCCTGTGGCCCCAGCAAAACTTCCACCAGCTCTAGAGGCTCGCCTCATTTTATTGTACCTCGCAAATACTGCATTTTTTACAAATTGAAGGTTTGTGGCAACCCTGCATCATTTTCCCAACAGCATCTGCTCACTTCGTGTCTCTGTCTCACATTTTGGTAACTCTTGCGATATTTCACACTTTTTGGCCATCATTATTAGATTTGTGATGGTGATCTGTGACCAGTAATTATGACTGATCGAAAACTTAGATGATGGTTAGCATTTTTTTTTTACCAATAAACGTATATACATTGTTTTTCTTAAGACATCATGCTATTGCATGAAATCAAAAAATTCATGTGACTCACTTTATTGCAATATTTACTTTATGGCAGTGGTCTGGAAGGGACTGCACACCTCCGAGGCACGCCTGGGCTCTGCCGATGGGTCTCCACTACTTATAGAAGAAAGTCCCCGTTTCCCACCTTGGTGCTATAGGCCCTTCACCACCTCCCCACACCCCCACCCTCCTTCATTACCCCTTGTTCCTCTCTGGCCCTTTAGATATTCCCCGAGTCTCTGTTTCTGCGCTGGCCTCACCCTCCCTCCCCTGTCTGCAAAGTGCTTTCCTGGGTTCTTTCATCTGCATGGCCAAATCCTACCTGGTTTTCATATTATTATGTCATTTGAGCCTCACAAAAATCTCTGAGTCAGTCGTAAAACATTGGTCTTACAAGATGATTCTTTAAAAAAGGATTCCATGTTGCAATCAGCTTGGGTAATGCCATGGGCCATCATTCCTTTGTAGGGCTAGGGTGACCCCATAATGGCTAAGGTCCCAAGGAGGGCTGCAATCAAGATGCATCTCTAACCCAGCATTGCCTAAATGTATCGACATCAGAACCCTTCCCACTCCCTATCTATTAACACACTGCGGACAATCTGGGAAATGCTTCCTCGAGACTCATCAGTGAAGTTATCCTTAAACTGTTTTTATTGGGGAAGAAAGCCCAGGTTCAGAGATAGTAATTCTCACAAAGCTGAGTGAAATGAGCATTAATCCCATTTATTTTCCCTGTATTAGGATGACTTACAATATTTGTCATCTGGTGAGGACTTTAAAACTTATTCTTTGGAACCCCGAAGTGACTGGCTTCTTAAGACCATAACTCTCATTTCTCTGTCCTAATATCTGAACTTTGTCCTACTTCTCTTTTCTAAAAATGATCGTGTCCAAGTCTTTCTTCGGCTTTTCTTTTCCTGCCAGATGTTTCACAAGTAAGGAACAAAAGGTTCCAATTAAATTTTTCCAAGAGTCTCATTGAATCATGAAAAGAAATAGCAAATATGTTTTCTAGTACATACCTGCTTTACATCAAAATCATAGTAACTGTAAAGAGGAAGGAATGATGGCTAATTTCAAGGGGATATTTATGGCTAAATAAGAACTGAGGAAAGGCACGAGTGTATTTCTGTTTTAATTGTAGCTTTGAGAGTTTTCAAGGGTTATACAAGAAACATTTTATATAATTATGTAGAGAATACACATTTTACTTAATTTTTCAAAAATGAATGTAAAACTTAGGAAAATTAAGGGAAAAAAAGCTTCTTGCATGTTTGTTTAGCATTTTGTTATTATTACCTGACCTTTAAATCCACCTGTGTTGTAAGTTGTGAGATGCTCCCTTATGGTACTTTGTTTATCCTATTAAGAGTCTTTTGGGGGGGGCAGTCAGTGCATTCTGCACATGCTCAAGGCAGTACCCCTCAATGGTGACATCGGAGGGCTGCACACTGCTTGGGAACAGGTCTCACTGAACTAGTCCAGCCAAGGTCACTGACCAGATTCGTAAGCAAGCAAGCAAACAACAAGCACTGGGGGTGGGGAATCAGTATTCAGAATTACGATACTACATTACCGAAAACGTCTAGCTTTCAACAAAAAATTATGATCCCTGCCAACAAATAGGAAAATGTGTTCCATACTCAGGAGAAAAGGCAGGCTTTTAGAGGGCACAGATGTTGGACTTAGCAGGCAAAGACTCCAAAGCAATTAAGAATATGTTCAAAGAACTAAGGAAAAACCATGATGATAGAATTTAAGGAATGTATGATAGCAATGTCTCATCAAATATAGACTATTGACGAAGAAACGATAGAAAAGAGCCAGGCAGAAATTCTGGAGCTGAAAAGCTTATGACCAAAATGAAGAACTCGCTAGACAGGTGCAACTGTAGATTTGAGCTGGCCTAAAAGAAAGCAAGACCTGAGAAAAAGCAACAGAAATGATGCAATCTGAAGACCAGAGAGAAAAAAAGAAGGAAGACAATTGAATAGGGTCATAGAGGTCGTAGAGGACTGTAGGACCTAATGAAGTGCACCCTCATACACATAATAGGGTCCCAGAAGGAGAGGAGAGATAGGAAGGAGCAGACAGATATTCAAAGAAATAATGGCAAACCCCACGTTTGATGAAAAAAACAATCTACACATTCCGGCAGCTCAATGACTTCCACGTGGGATGGACAGGAGGCAAGGCCCCCCAGACCATAGTCAAGTGATGAAAGACAAAGCCACAGAGCATCTCAAGAGCAGAAGACCGCACGTGACCCTTCACAGACACACATGGGAACCCCGATGAGGTTAATGGTTGACTTCTTTCCCTAGAAACAGTGGTGGTCAGAAGGCCGGAGAATACATATTTAAAGTGTTGAAAGGAAAAACTGTAACCAAGGATCTTGTATCCAGTAAACTATCTTACAAAACTGAAGGTGAAATAAGCAGGTGAGTAAAGGCTGAGAGAATGCGTTGCTAGCCTGCCTTTACAGAAACACAGAGGGTGTTCGGGGGAAGCAGGTTACACCGGGCAGTAAGCTGTACCCACCCAAAACAACGAAGACCGTCAGCAAAGACGAGTCCGTCTGTAATTACATAATCGTGTGGTTGTATCTTTCTCCTGACTGAATTAAAAAGCCATTTCACAAAACAACATGTAGATAGGGTTTGCTGGGCCTATAATGACCAGCGATGTAACTCATTTCCCAGTAATGGCACAAGGGAAGTAGATGAGAGCAAAGCTCCCTCAGCATAAGGTCTTACCAAATAACTGACTCCTAAGAACTCTATTAAATTACCTGGAGACCAAAGTTGCGTAATGATAGTCCTGATTTTATAGGGAATATGGAAACACTTAGAGAAAGCGTGAACTTTGGAATCAGAAAATCAGGTTGAGTCTTTGTCTTGAGCAACTTTTAGCACTTTGAACTTGGAGGAGATGTTAGCTCCTTTGAGCCTCAATGTCTTAATTTATCAAATGCCGTTTCAGCGGGATACTATGTGACTGTCTTTGTCCCACTTAGGCTTTTGAAGTGTCCTAGAACGTGTTGGTGGATGGCAGAGCTAGCGGACTCAGAGGGTGAGAGAACGTCCCATCCGTACCCAGTGCTGCAACCCGTCAGCTGAGACCCTGACCCAGCTGTCTCCCCCAGGCATCCTTCCTGATTCTCACTCCCTCACTTCCCCGAGGCAGAAACGAACCTTTCCTTGCACTCCTACGGCCCCTCATCAGCACATCTGCAAAGCCACTTGTCCCATTCTTCCTATGGCGATTTGTTTTCATGAATTACCTTCTCTTTTAGATTGGGTTTGCTGGAGGGAGGAAAGGATGTGAATCCTTCATGACTGTGCTATCTTAAGAGACACTAAGCAAGGTCAACTACCAAGTGCATTCCTCAGCAGCAAGCTCCAGGTAGTCGGAAGGCAACTGCCTGTTCTTCCTAATCATAAAATACTGCTTTAAAAACGTTGGCTCCAGCATTAAAACAAAACAAAACAAAAAACCCAAAAATCCAAAACCAAAAAACGTTGGCTCCTGCATATTCTAGCTTTATCAAGAGTTCTTGCAAGCCAGAGGCTTGTCCTGTCGCATGGAGACTGGAGGAAGAGGAGGAGGGGGGAATGCTGTAAAACCCATAGAGATAGGACTGCCTCAACCCTGCAAACAGAAAGATGCTAACAGGGTAGGTTTCTCCCTTTTGAGGCACTGACGTCGTTGAGTAATCCTCCCTTCCCTCTTTCCTCCATGTTACTTTGGTCTCCAAATTTCCGCATGGAGGATGCCCTGTCTTAGGGTTAAGGTGGGTCCGTTCAAAAGCTCCTCCCTGCTGTCTCAACAAGTGAGGGATACTTTACTTGCAGGGCAGTTTTCGTTTGGATTAAAAAAAAGAAAGAAGGAAAAAATGTTTTAAATGTTTAGCACCTGAGGGTTGGAGTCCGTCCACCTGCCTGCATTGCAATTAAATTCGGGGGAAATCACGGACTCCAGGCGGAGAGGGGGCCGCCCTTACTCCCCCATCCCTCCAGCGCCCCCCACCCCCGGCTCCTGGGCTGCCACTGATTGGCCAGCAGGCCCCGCACCTGGCCAATCGCTCTGGGCCGGTTGTCAAGGCGACGAGGCACGCTAACACTGCAGGTGGCGGAGGGCCGCGGAGACCGCAGGATGGCGCAGAACCTGTATGGTCCCCGAGTGCGAATGGGCAACTGGAACGAGGACATCTACCTGGAGGAGGTACGCAGGTGTGGCCGGCGCGGCTGGCCCACTCCTCAGGGACCTTCCGACCCGCCCCAGGTCCGGCCCCAAGGCGGCCGGGGCCTCCTTTCTCCCCCAGCAGACACCCAATACCTCTAACCCTCATACACATAATAGGGTCCCAGAAGGAGAGGAGAGATAGGAAGGAGCAGACAGATATTCAAAGAAATAATGGCAAATCCCACGTTTGATGAAAAAAACAGTCTACACATTCCGGCAGCTCAATGACTTCCACGTGGGATGGACAGGAGGCAAGGCCCCCCAGACCATAGTCATCCTCTAACATCCAGACCTCTAACATCCCACCCGGATCTGAACGCCCTGGGAAGTTCACCGGCAGTCCCACAAACCCAGGTCTCACACCCTGCCACTCTCTCTAGGGGTCCCTTGGTCTCCCAAACCCCGTGCCTCTCCCTTAGCGTGCCCTACCAAGTTCTCTCCATCCCTACAGACTTCAGGGTTTCAGGGGCTGAGGTCGGGGTGAGGAGGAGGCAGGCTCTATGTGAAGGCACTGCCCCACTCCCACTCCCCCACCCCATCATACACACACCCTCCTAGGTGTCCCTGTGGTGTCCTTTTCCCTGACATTACACTCAGACAAGGCCTTGGGCCATCAGGTGTCCCATCTAGCTGGGGGTGGGGGTAGGGGTGGATAAGCAGGGGAGACCTCTGCTGGGGACACATGGCCTCCAAATGTTATTCCTGATTGTCTCTGGATGGAGTAACGGAGGATGATGTTTCTTCGTCTTTTTGTGTGTGTCTTCCTCATTTTTTCAAACATTCTACAAGGGAGTAAAAAGATTAAAATAAAGCTAAACCAATTTCCACCATTCCCATTACGCTCACGTTTCTTTTTCTCAAATTTTGCTTTTTCAGCTTGATGTGCTTCGGACCTGTAAGCTACCAGTGTCTATAAATTGAGGACTATTGTAGACTTTTTGTGTTTTCCTTCATTTTCTCTTTCACCAGGAGGTCATGAAGGACTTCTTGGAGAAGAGAGATAAGGGACAGCTTCTCATACAGAGAAACAGGAGACTCAAAGAGAATCTTTTGAGACCGGTAATTTTAAATTTAAGCACTGTTTCCAAAATTCTATCGAATTAAGTGTGAATGTATGTTAAGCAAGCAAACGTTCCATAAATGAATTATCATTTGGAAAATACCGGGTTTTTTCCCTTTAGATCTGAAAACCACAATGTTTAAAATTCCCTAAGATTTTAGAAACAGAGGAGAAATCTGCTCTTAATTATGTTTACCCACATTTTCCAAAATAAGAAATGAGCGGATCAGTACAGGAATCTGTAAAACGCCCCTTAGTTGGGTGCTCAAGACATTTCCAGGAAGTTTGAATAAATTAATAGTGGAGTCAGCTCATGTGATTTCCTTACTTCGTTTGGGATTTTGGGGGGACTTTGGCAAAGTGGGAGGGGGTTGGCAGCAGGGAAAGGAAGAAAATGAAGGACTTGAGGGAACCTGAGTTATCACAAGTCACCCGAATGCTATGACCCCTATCGAAATGGGTCCTTGACAGTGAAGGAAAGAAGGTGCATCTGGCAGTGGTCTCTGCACTGGCTGGTGAGGACGTGCATGGTTGGTTTGAAAAACTATTTAAATTGTAGATGCAGCTTTCCATAACTGAGGATGGGTACGTTCACTGTGGCGACAAAGTGATGCTTGTGAATCCTGACTACCCTGAGACAGAAGCTGATCTGTTTTTGGGCGGGGACCTGAGCCTGTGCATGACTCCGGATGAAATTAAAGCCCACCTGAGTGACGACTTAGAGGTGCCCTGTGGCCTGAGCGCAGCTCCAACCAAGATCCCCGTTGGCAGAAACACTTTTATCATTTTGAGGTAGAGAAACTTCAATTTTCAGCTCACGTTTATCATAAATATGTTTTCACTCAGAGCTTCAGGAAGCCCTGGGACTGGAGCCGTGCTGTCTGGAGGTAAAGGTGATGGGAGAGGGTCTGTGCTGGTCCCGTCTTGCCGTCTCCCCCGGGGATTACTGTTGGGGGGGCCTTTACACGCCCTTCACCTTGAACAGCAGGATCACTGCTAATTTGTGTTCAGTTATAAACACTTCATTCAAAAGTATTGGATCTAGGAAACTAAAATCATATTCTGCCTAGAAGCTGGGTTTTCCAAATAACATCTGCGGATGCTTTGAGCTCATCTGAGTGTTTTTGGTGTGCTTAATGTTGCTATTTTTAGAACAAAAATAGTTCTGTGCAAGGTGGCACTTGCACTGGGATTTGTTATTTTATAATTAATTATTTACCAAAAATGTAGTTGGGATCTTGAAATAGGCAACTAAATCCTTAGAGAACAGATACATAATAACAATGAAAAAGTATTGCTTTTACTTTGTTAATTAAATAATGATAGCAATGTTCAGATGACAAGAATATAGCCAGTCCTTTAAGTCTTTATTTTTTTTAAGATTTTATTTATTTGTCAGAGAGACAGAGCGAGCACAAGCAGGGGGAGCGGTGGGCAGAGGCAGAGGGAGAAGCAGGATCCCCACTGAGCAAGGAACCCGATGGGGGGCTTGATCCCAGGACCCCGGGATCATGACCTGAGCTGAAGGCAGGCGCTTAGCCACCTGGGCCACCCAGGCGTCCCTCCTTTAAGTCTTTAATTCAGAGTTCCTTCGAATACTGATAATTTATGTCAAGACAAATAAAAGTTGACCACAGCTTCTGTGTCCTGGAGGATTAGGAGGGAAGACTGTATTAAGTGTGTACACCTAATTAGATGTCGCTCTTTATCAGGATGTCCACACACCCAACCAGAATCCCTCAGTGGAGGATAGCATGACGTGCTCACAAAGAGGGGATGCTCCGCACGCTGGCTGTGCGAGGAGACAGGGACAGGGTGCTAGCTGGATTTGAAAACCCAAAGAAAGGACCATTTTGAAAACGTTTAGCCACTTAACCAGTTAATGTGTGTGAATATACATTATCAAGAAAACTGATGATAAACAAAATTGCCTATGCAAACAAACAGAATGTAGAACGATTCTAATGGAGTTGACATGATGCTTACTCTTCCCTGACAGTGCAGACAGAAATGCCATGGGTCAAGTCCTTAGATATGGACAGAACTTCTGCCTTGCCATAACGGGAGGATTTGAAGACAGAATGGTGAGTCATCACGGTGCATGGCGGTTTGGGGCCAGGAGTTTTTGTTTCCATGTGGGCTCATGGCCGCCTAGGGAAGCGGACCAAGGACTCTGCAGGTGCATGCTCCACCTCTGGCTTCTCGAGCCCCTGCCCGCGGCTCTCGGGCCACTTCCTTCCTTCTAGCTTTTCGAATGACAAAAATATACCCTTAGACGCTAAGGAGTAAGGGAGAAAAATCTGCAGTGCAGCTGACAGAAAGCAAAACTTTATGCCACCTTCATCTGTAAGTTAATGGTTGGATTAATTAATCATCATCTCACAGGGGTCAATGTCCCCAATGCTAGCAAGGTATGTTACCCGATAACTTTTTTTTTTTTTAACTTGATCTTTTTCTTCCCCTTGCGGATTAGGAGGGTCACAGAACCAGATAAATTTGGGTCTAACTCTAGCTGAGATGTCTCTCTATAGGGTGGGACCTCAGATAAATCATTTAACTTTTTTGAGTCTTTCTCATCTATAAAATGGGGATTATTATACCTTACTACATGCCATATCTATCTATCTATCTATCTATCTATCTATCTATCTATCTATCTATCATTTATTCACTTAGTCATCCAAACAAGTCTTTGAGCTAGGGACTATTTTACCCCAATTTTACTGATGGGGAAACTGAGGCACGAGGTCAGGTGATTTTGCCCCAAGTCGCTCAGTTGTCGAGTGCAGGATGGGTACCACTTACCATTTCTCACTGAATCAAAGCTTGAGGTAACATTATTACCTTTTATGCCACCAAGACAAATCAGCGTTGCCAATCAAACCCCTACATACCATAGGTGGTAAGTGCAGCCTGATTTTAAGTGTAGAAATTGCAGAAAATACCATATTGTTGAAAGAGGGGGAGTAAATCACTGTTGTGTTATCCAGAGATCAGCACTACTAACATTTTGGCTTATTTTCTTTTACACTCTTATTTTCCCAAAACAGATTTAAAATACAGGGAAAGTTACAAGCACTGTAACATGTAGATACACCATTTCTGGTCTCTCTCTCTCTCTCTCTTTCTCCACCCCCCCTCCTTTTCTCTTCCCCCCAATACTGTCCTTAATTCTCCCATCTTTGTCTCCTATAAATCATCTGTCCTCTGTCCCTGTACTTACTTGTGTTTATGTATCTGTTCTTCCATAGATTATAACATTTTATCATTTTGTTGGTAATATTTCCACCCATTTTGCTACTTAGCTTTTATTATTTTAATTTTTTAAATTTTATTTTTTTGGCTACTTGGCTTTTAAAGCATAGTTGTGCTAATATATTTTTGAGTAAAATGTATCCGTGTTTTCCTTCGTAATTCCTTCCATTGCTCAGTACCCTATAAAGTCTGCTCCAGAGATACCATAAAAAGAAGAACTTGTATCGACTTCTCAGTGTCTGAAGTTTAACTTCTGCTCCTGTTTGTTCTTTATCTGCTTGAGATTTATTTTGATACAGGGTTCCGATGCAGACATGCGATTTCCCCCAAATGACTAATCAGCTGCATTTGGGTTATTTCTTGAATAAGTGTTCCTTCCCTCACTGACACGCAATGCCCCCCTTTCCATCACTGCATGCTATCTCTGAGCTTCCTATTTTAGCCCTTTCAACTCAAATTGTGTATTTTTATTCTAGAATTGTACTTTACAATATAATAATATATTTTGACAGCTCATTCGGCTAGTTCTCTCTCATGACGCTTCTTTGAATTGTATTAGGAATTAACCTCTCAGTTAAATGCAATTATTTTTGCAAATCCCTCTGCCCCTGTGGGGAAAAAAATGCATGTGGCATTTTGATTGGCACTGGAAAATTACGTAAATTCACGTATTTAGGGCTTTACGACACTTCTTTTTCTGAGATGTCTCGCCATTTATTCATTTATTCTTTCTGGTTTTGTGGTTTTCTTCCCATGGATTTGACACTGATCTCGCTAAGGTTGTTCCCACGGTATCTTCCACTGTGGATGCTCCTTGTAGGGAGGCCCTTAGTCAGTTGCAACAAAAATATAAGAACACCAATGATGTTCAGACTCACCTCTGATGAAATCCCTCACTATTATTATTTCTAATGGTTTTCCAGTTGATTTTCTCATGACTTCCCGTAGATGGTGCTTTCATTCTCAAGGGATGACGATTCAATCTCTTCTCAAATTCTCTTATTTCCGTTCCTCAACTTTGAATTAGCATGCGTTTCCGGGGCAGTCACTAAAAAAAATCTGGGAATACCGGCCTTCTAGATTTGTTCCTGATTCATTATTATTTTTCTTTACATTAACAAAGCAGCGTTTGTGGTTTGAGGTAGATACTCTTTGCCATTTGAAGTCTGGGTTTTCCAGTTGCTCTGGATCTCCCCGACATTTCCCCGATCACCAAGAGTCAAGCCTAAGTGTGTCTTGGGCCTGTCCCGCTTCCCTGCCTGTGTCCAGCTCATGGTCATGCCCATGCGTCTCCCTTCATAGTACTCTTGGGCCCGTCTTTTCGTCCCCAATGCCAGGACCTCAGTCCAGGTCCCCATGGGTTGACCTCTCTTGTCTGTCCTGACTTCAGACCATGGTAGTTGCACGCTGCCAGATTGATCCTCTAGGAGCTCAGTTTGGTTAGTGCTGCTATTCACGGTGGTATTTAAGACCCTCTGTGATGTGTCCCCACGGTGGTACTTAAGACCCTCTGTGATGTGACTGCACCGTCCCTGTCCACGTGCAGCCAGCCCCTCGGGCTCCCAGCACCACACTGCCTCCTCCTCGGAGGCTCTCCTGCGCCCCTGGGCAAGCATCCGTCCTCACCTGTGCCTGCCTGCCTGCCGCCCTTCCCCGCCCTGCTGGCCAGCCATACCTCCCAGGTGTTTACAGGTGCTTCCAGTCCCATCCTCCGTCACTCTCCTGCCTGTGAGGAAAAGCCTCGAAGAGAGTAACTCATTTCTGCCTTCCCCATAGCGAGCGCCTCATGGCACAGCTTTGCACATGAAAACCTGCAGAAACAGGCAAAAACAGCCTCCAGCTTCAGGGTGAAGGGTCAATCAGTAAAGAACTAACAAGCAACTAACGTTTCCGACTTTTCTGCAGGATGGGGTGCTTCTTGGCCCAGTTACGGGTGGCCAGATAGCTGCCGAAATAAGTCCCACGTGTGGACGTCAGCTCCAGTGGGACATGGGCCCCCTCGGGGGCACAGAGCAAATGTCGGCTGTGATGGTGTGGGTTGTGAGGTCCCTTCATGCAACAAGTTTCGTGCAACACCATTTCTAAGAAGTAAAACCGTGGTCCCGGCCTGAGCCCTGAAAAGGAGGATGGGGAGCAGGGACGGGATGAGGAGGAGAGAGTGGGTTTGGTACCCAAAGGAAGGCAAAGCAGTGGAGGTGATGTGGGGAGGGGGCGGGTGGCCTCAGTATTCTGAGATGACATTTCTAAAGTGGAGGAAACCTGAGTGTTTTCACTATCAGCAGGAATGGGATTTTCCAAAACTGCTTCTGAACGCGCCGGACACCCAGCCAGTCGGCCGTTCACTCCCCCAGCTTCTCCGGTTCTGTGATGTAGCTCATCCGCGCACTATCCTTTTCAGCTGTATTTATCGAGTGATCACAGGACCCTGCTGAAGTCGTCGAAGAGGTCTTGGCTCCAGGAGGTGTACCTGACCGATGAGCCCTCCTACCTGAACTGTTGGCAGGCTGCCTTCCTGGACCCCCAGCTCCGCCTGGAGTACGAAGGCTTCCCGGTGCCGGTGAGCGCAGCCCGGGGGCAGCCCTTCCACGGGTCTGTACGTCGGGGCTTCTCATTGCCGTTCTCACTGCTGGGCATTTCCCCAGAGCTCGGGCCCCGCAGGACTGGAACCCCAGGCACGGTCCTCACAGCAAGGCGGGTCCGGCGGGCCAGAGGCATTGCTCTTGCTCCTGATGCAGTGAGCGGTTGTTGGAAGTCACGGGGAGAGCATGGGATTGCAGCGGGCATGGATTGGAAGGGTTGGCTAGCGGAGGTGGCCACCCAGAAAGGGCCCCCCAGTTCCAGGCCCCAGGCACCCGCCCGGCACAGTGCGCTTCTCTGCCGAGCTCTGCAGGTGGACCCGGGCTCCGCAGGGTCTCTCCTCTGGCGCGGAGGATACACACACGGTGCACACTGCTGCCCGCCCGACCCATTTGCTCTCTTGAGCAGGCCTCTGCCATGCTTTGCTCTCCTGGAAACTGCTTCCCATCTCCATGATTTCAACCTTCAGCTTCACAGTCTCTTTCTCCGTGAAACAGGGGTGATGACAGTATCTGCCTGATGAGGTTTGGTCCGTGCGTTCGCTGTGCTCACTAGAACAGTGCCTGGCTCCCAGCGGCTCCCAAGCGTGAGCCTGGTTGTCGTGGTCGTGGCCGGGCTTGTGGGAAAGCACTGGGCCGGCCCAGCAGCTCTGTCCCCTCTACTTGCTCAGGCCTCACGTGCACACAACTGTCGCTTGCACCCTGGGAGCCTCAGCCCTGTCCTCGCCTCCTTGTGGCACTGTGCCCTCCAGCCAGAGCCGCCGGGAGCAGCTGGGGTTGGAGAAGCGAGCTCCCCCCTTGCTGCCGCGGGCCAGGAGGCACACGGAGGGGGCGTCCCGGAATTTGGGCTTTGGTGGGGGGATTCAGGGAGCTTCCCAGGAAGCAGCGTTCTGCTCTGGATGCCGTCAGGAAGTGGGAGTAATTCGGGGACGGGCCTCTCAGCTCACCTGAGCTGGGGGGCGGGGGCCCGAGCGAGGCTCCCGCTGTCCTTAGTCAGGACGCAGCTTCCGCTCACATTAGCCGGGAGGGGCAGGTGTCGGGTGGTCTGCCGCTTGGACGAGGCGCACGTTTAGTCTGTGTTTGGAGGCGATCACAGAGCGGTCTTCCTTCTGCTCTGACCCTTCGTGGGTGCAGGGTGGCCTGGTCTGATGTGGGCATCCGCTGATGCCGAGTAAGTCCCACCGGAGTGAGCGAGGGCTTTGTTCTTCCTCACACAGTGTTTAGCTTCCATGAGCCAGGAGTTTGAAAGACTATGTATTTTTTTCCTGATTATAAACAATATATATGCTCACTGAAGGAAAAATCAGAAAAGCACAACAAATAATATGCAAATAACCGGTAATTCATCCCACCTTCCAGAGAAAGCTGCTGATGTTTATCATCTCTTTTTCCATGCATGTCTTTTTATTTTATTTAATTTTAAATTCTTTTAACAAAATAGGACATCAGCAATATCCTTATCTTCTCCACCACTGATTATATCTCACGTTGTGAAGGATCTTCTCCAGTGTGGCTCTGAGTGATTCTAGAATGTTCCATCCTGTGTGCACCTGCAACGCTCTATGTAACCAATCCCTTATGGTTTGGCTTCTAGGTTATTCTATCTCTCTATTTTTTTTTAACTACGTTTAAACGAATATATAGTGTATTTCCAAATGTTTGCCTTTAGTAATTGGAGGCCTTAGTTCATAATGCAAATAACACGCTCTCTTCATCTTCAAAGGCAAATGCAAAAGTTCTCATCAGTCACTGCCACACAAACCGGGGACTGGCAGCCCACCGATACCTATTCTTAAGGTACATGTTGCTTGGTTCAGCAAGATGCCATGAATAGGGGAGAGGGATGTATCTATAAGCAAAGAAGCTCAATTGACTTATTTTTATCTATTTATTTATTTTGGTGGGGAAGGGGCAGAGGGAGAGGCAGAGAAAGAATCTCAAGGAGACTCCATGCCCAGCACAGAGCCCTACATGGGGCTCGATCTCACGACCTTGAGACCATGACCTGAGCTGAAATCAAGAGTCAGACGCTTAACTGAATGAGCCACCCAGGTGCCCCAAGCAGCTCGATTCAAAGAGTGTGGCCACACACACAAGAAGTCCTTTGATGATGAAGTGTTGTCACAAAGGACTCGATGGTGTGACAAATCCTACCCGAGGCCCTCATGTCCCACAAGTCCATCCCAGACAAGAGGATTTTAGCTATAATGGGACCCTTTGTTCCTCATCATTGCCCGAGCAGGGTCAAACATCCGGCAAGCAAGCTCACCCTCCCCGAGCCCGAGTCTGGGGCTTGGGGTGCGGGGCGGACAGAGTTACTCACCCAGAGCCGCTCCTCCGTTTCCAACCAGTGTCCGTTCTTTCTTGCCCCAGTACCTATTTTGGAAAGGAAGTGGAGGTGGCTGCTCACACACATCTGGATTCACACAGAGTGGAAAAGCCGAGGAACCATTGGATGTTGGTGACTGGGAACCCCCGGAAAGACTCGTCCACCATGTTGGACGTGGTGCCCAAGCCGCTGGCAGAGGACGCCCGAGCCCTGGAGAGGGACACCCGAACCCCAGAACAGGGCGCAGACCCCGGGGCTCAGTGACCCCAGGTGCGCGCGCTCAAAAAACCTAGCTTTGCCAGGTCGTGCCCCAACCTATTTTTAAGCAAACATGTTTTTTTATGTTAAAACAAAGGCTATATGGAGATTATTGAATTTGTGGTGGGGGCCTGGGACACAGGACAAACTGGCTCTAAGAAGCAGCTCCTAAGTGGTATTTGAAGGTGACAGATGATATTCCTTTGTTGATTATTAATTCCTGAAGAACTTTAGATCCTATTTAGCAGTGGCTTCTACAAGCTATCAGACCACATGGGATTCCTTTCACTCCCCCCCCCACCGCCCTTCTCCCCACCACGTGGTGTACTAAGAAATCAACAATGTGTAGCTGTGAGCTGTAGCTTGACCTTGGAGCTAAATGTCTTCCCCCTTGTATGTTTGCTTCTACCTCTGACTTAGGGGGGGTCAGGACCTCTACCTGACTGGTCACACTATTGAGTAATGATTTTCAAAGGGCGCAATCTCTTTAATCCTTGAAATGGGCACATTAGCCGCGGCACCTATGTGATCAGAAAGTTCCTGACAAAATAAATATGTATCTTTCCATGTATTTGCTCATCTTCATTCTTTGTGGCGTCCCCGTGACGTGTAAGGTAAGGAGTTCTCGTAGGATGGAGAGTCCCCCAGCCCTGCAGGTAAAGCTGAGTCGTATGGCTGTCTCTCTCGTAAAAACACCAAGAGGCAGAGGGGCGCCTGGGTGGCTCAGTCGTTGGGCATCTGCCTTCAGCTCAGGTCATGATCCCAGGGTCCTGGGATCGAGCCCCACATTGGGCTCCTGGCTCAGCGGGGAGCCTGCTCTGTCTGCCTCTCCCCCTGCTCATGCTCTCTCTTTCTGTCTGTATCTCTGTGTCTCAAATGGATAAATAAAATCTGTAAAAAAAAAAAAAAAAAAGGCAGACAGTAAGTCTCAGGTGGTGTAGATGTGTTTTAAAGAGACGGTGCGTCAAGCCAGTGTGGATCGACCCTCTTGAAGGAGGCATTTGCCAGCAAGTGCTGCAGGACTCAGGGCGCTGGTTCCTGTTCCTGTCCCTGGCCGTGCATGGGATTTACCCAGACAACGTTAGCCATTGCTGATGCCTGGGCCCCAGCCCAGAAATTCTGACTTAATGGTCGGATTGCAGGCAGCCAAGATCGAGACCCACTGCGGTAGGAGGCAGAGGAGGAAGCAGTGGGTCCTTGGGGGGTGGTCAGAGAAGGCTTTCCTCAGTGAGTCTCAACCGGGCTGCACTTCCGAATCACCGGAACAGTGTAGACACGCCCAAAGCGCACTTGCATGCCAGACCAGCAAATCAGAATTTCGGGGGTGGGGCTTTAAAAAAATACAGATGCCCTGAGCCCACCTCCAGAGATTTTCACTTAAGTGCCAGGGGGCTGAGGTAACAATGTTCTTGAAAACTCACTGTTTTATTTTCCTGTACAGCCTGGGCTGAGCACCGCTGGCCGGCGAGCAGAGCTGGGTTTGCCTGGGTGTCTCCTAAGGGCGAAACCGGGACTGGGAGTAGGTTGGTGGGGGCTGCATCTGGGGAAAGGCGTTCTTCAACAGGTCAAGCTATCTGCAAGCATCTGGACCAATTCTGGCACGTTCTTGCTCCTGCCGTAAAAGGGGCCCACAGAAAGCTTCCAGACACCAGGACTCACGTTCCTGCCTTGAGCCATGCGTCGGTGGTATCTTGAGAACCACCACAGGGTTTTAGTGCCAGGACTATTGGCCAAGTTTGCATGACTGCAGTTACCGTCAATAATGGTTGGATGTATGGCAAAGCACAGTCGTTTGAATGCAGAGAGACGTTAAACTCCGAAAAAGGCATCCCTGCGCATCTTAGTGTAGATGAAAGACACCCAGCAGCTGGGAAACTGGCATGACTGAATTCGGGCCCCCCGTTACCTCGTGCTGTCACATCGGACCACTGCCCTGGGTCTGTCGAGCACATTACAAAATTATCAGTTTCCTTACTGAACCTCACTAATCTCCGGGCTTAGACCGGATATAGTTCATTGCCGTACCCCATTTCTTGAGAAGTACCTGTTGCGTGAATAAAGGGATGAGCAGGGGAATGAGTCCAAACCTTTTGCAGAGGTAGCAGCAGGCTTGTACAATGAAGTGATCTTTTTTTTTTATTCTTATGTTAATCCCCATACATTACATCATTAGTTTTAGATGTAGTGTTCCATGATTCATTGTTTGTGCATAACACCCAGCGTTCCATGCAGAACGTGCCCTCCTCAATACCCACCACCAGGCTAACCCATCCTCCCACCCCCCTCCCCTCTAGAACCCTGTTTGTTTTTCAGAGTCCATCGTCTCTCATGGTTCGCCTACCCCTCCGATTTCCCCCACTTCATTCTTCCCCTCCCGCTACCTTCTTCTTCTTCTTCTTTTTTTTTTTTTTAACATATATTGCATTATTTGTTTCAGAGGTACAGATCTGAGATTCAACGGTCTTGCACAATTCACAGCGCTTACCAGAGCACATACCCTCCCCAGTGTCTATCACCCAGTCACCCCATCCCTCCCACCCCACCCCCCACTCCAACAACCCTCAGTTTGTTTCCTGCGATTAAGAATTCCTCATATCAGTGAGGTCATATGATACATGTCTTTCTCTGTTTGACTTATTTCACTCAGCATAATACCCTCCAGTTCCATCCACGTCGTTGCAAATGGCAAGATCTCATTCCTTTTGATGGCTGCATAATATTCCTACAATGAAGTGATCTGCTCAAGATCACACAGCTCCTACCTAGCAGGGTGGGGCAGGAGCTGGTCAGGTCCTTTAGACCCTCCTCCTCGCCAAAGTAGAGGACCTGGTACTCTCAGGTGCTTGGTCCAGATAATTCTTTGTTGCGGGGGGCTGTCCTGTGCACTGTAAGACATTTGACAGCATCCCTGGCCTCGGCCCACTGGATGACAGCGGCACTCCTCCACTTGGTGATAACTAGGAATGTCTCCAGACATGGCTAAACGTCCACTGGGAGCACAAAAGGCATTTTGGGCACCCCTAGATCTTTTAGATGTTTATTTCCCATCTCCAGAGGATGCTATAAAGGGGTCTTTCTTCTATTTATGTATGTTTTTTCTATAGAGGACACATTATGTGCTTTTAAGGTAATTTCCAGGTATAGGAATAATCTGCTTTTAGCATCTGATCTGGGCTTCGGTGGAAACCTAGAATTTTGTGCAGAGTGGCCCCCAGGACAAGGTTGATCTGGACGTGGTTACAGGGCCCAGAAGGCACACAGCATCTCAGTAGTGGCCTCCAGGGTGGGGGACACACAAAGAGATGTGAGAAGAAAAGCTTAGAACGTCTATGTGTATCATTATCTTATCCTTTAAAACGCGTTAATGTGTGTTTTCCACTGTTCAAAATGTTAGTTTTTAAATGTACATAATAGTTCAATGGGCATGGGTAAAATTTTTCAATGCACATATGTAAGTGTGTCCACGTGTCTAGGTAGTGCTTAAAACTTACCGTGGAGGGTTTACAGTGACAGTTGCTGGGGCTGGGTGCTGTGCGTGCTTGGTTTTTATACAGAAAATGCCTGAGAGTCACTGATGTTCCCTAGCTTTGCCCCAAGTCGAGGACTGAAGGCTCCCCCGGCCCCAGGACTCTCCTGCTCACCTGAACAAGGTCTGTGGATCGCACCCTGAGTGTCTGCTCTCTTGCCGGGGCGGTGGACACAGTGAGGACTGAGACCAAAACCCTGCAGTGAGGGGCGGTGGGGAGACGGCCAGCATGCTCGTGTGCAGAGTGCTCCAGGCCGCGGAGGACGTGGAGGAGCAGGGCGATCCCTCACGCCCAGGGACCAGATGACACTGGAGCAGGAATATGGAGAAGACCCCGCAGTGTCCCCGGAGTGCGGCCTTTGGAGCTGTGCCCGGAAGCGGGGACTTAGCAAGAGGCCGGTTGCTGTGGGCTGTGTTTATAGCTGATGCTCGACAGTTACCCAGCAGGGATGCACTGGCAGGTAAAGCGGCGTAATATCTCCAGGCTGCGTGGAAACTGGCTACTGACCCAAGTCCCAGAGGTGCCCCTGGCCACCGTAGCGTCCCCCTGGAGGGACCCCTGCCCTTCACTACAGTCCAGCCACTGAAGAGTTAACGTCCGGCCCCTCAAGGGGCCTTCAGGACACCGTGGTTAGAGTCTGTTTGTTTTGGTTGGTGCCCACTGACATTCAGGAAAAACCGGGAGGGTCGTCCAATGTTTTGAATATCCTGCTGGCCGTGTGTAACAAATTACTGAATTTGAATTTTATCTTGAAAAGTGATAGCCTTTGAAAGAGTTTGAGGAGGAAAGTGGCATGACTTTGCTTTAGAGAGATTATTACGGAAGCGGCAGGGATGTAGAGGGGTCCTGGGGGGAGAGATGAGGCTCTGAACTAAGGCAGTGTCAGGACGCATGGATGAGAGACACATCCAGGGCGGAGGGAGGGGGAGGGAGAGAGAGAGAGAGATGACTCTGTACCTGGTGGATTAAGGCCAAAAGAGGACAAGAAGGTGGACCCCAGGTCTGGAGAGGGTGCCAATCCTGGAGAGTCAGAACACAGGAGGGTGAGCGGCTGTGCGGGGAAGTTGAGGTGGTGCCCGGGGATGTCTGGTCCGGAGTGGAAGCTGCTTTCCGTGGATGCACCAGCATCCCAGCTACGGTGTCTTCCTGGGCCCAGTGCGGCCATCATCGGCTGGATGGTTGGCCCCACCGAACCCGAGCCAAGTGCTTGGCAGCAAACACAACTTTAGGATTGATGGTGCCTTTAACTCCCTGGCAGGGCGACCATGGAGGAGCCCGACAGCCCAGTGGCTAGGACTGGCCACTTCCTGGCTGTGAGAAGGTCACCTTCCTGAGAATCGAGGTACCATCTGTGAAGCGGGCAGTCAGGGCAGCTCTGGATGCACCCGGTTATGAGGCAGCAGGTGCTCTGTGTGGGCGTGCCCCCCTTCCCCCTCTGCCCTCCTGTGCAAATTTAGCTAAGTGTGCGTCTGAGCCACGGAGTGATCTTGTCTCTGTCACCACGCTTGGTCCCAAGTCCGGACTTCATTCCCGCTCACGGCAGATCTTTGTGCATTCAGTCGAATCCAACAGAGCTCACTGACTGGTTTACACCAGGTGCTGAGCTGGACCCAGGGGGATCGGGTGGGGAATAAACACCTTCCTACCTGCAGATCCTCAGCTGGGGACATGCTGCTTTACGAGAGGAAGAGCGGTTTCTCCTGTTGATAAGAGGCAGCAACAACGGGATTCTCTGCAAAACCCCAGCATAAGCCGAAGCCACTGCCTTGGGGAAATGCAGGATGTGCTTGACCAGCCAACAGGGGCTGACGTGGGCTGGGACGCGGCTAAGAGAGGGTCAGAGGGGCATAAGACACGGAAGGGGGAAGGCCAGAGTGTGGAAGTTTGCGTTTCATTGTGGAGGTGGGCGAGGAGTCACCATGCGGTCTTGAGCAGAAAGGGGGCAGATGGGCCCAGAACGGAAGGCTTCCCGGGGTGGGAGAGGTACAGGGGGAGTAAAGGTCATTTCTGAGTTGGTCATTTCCCAGTCGGC